CCACTTTGAACCATATAAAAATTCATATATAAACATTTTACTTTTCATTCTCTTCAGGTCCCACCATATGTTTTCTTCTTTGTGTGCTGCGCGTCATATCGGATCCACTCCATCTTTGTGTTACGACTCTTTAATGACCCTGTGGCCATGATGCTGCTGTTTGGAGCAGTCAATCTCATTCTGGATGCACACTGGACCCTGGGCTGTGCCCTCTATAGGTAAAAGGACATAGACGAGGATAGAGTTGGATGGATAGATGGATTTCTGGATAAAATTGTAAAAAATATAACGGTAACATAAAGGCCTAGTTTTGCATGGCTTTTGAAAATGTAAAGCTTAACATGTCATGACTGAGTTAATCATCTCTTGCAGTGATTGTGTATGTGCTTAAAATTCTGTAATCTCTGTAAATTCTGTAATGTGGACAGTCTGGCAGTGTCCGTGAAGATGAACGTGATGCTCTTCGCTCCAGGACTCCTCTTCATCCTCTTGTCAGAGTTTGGACTGATGAAGACCCTTCCCAAGCTTACACTCTGTGCCATCATCCAGGTCTCACACACGTTCTGACAAAATGCATAAAAGCATGTTGAGACATTCACACTGTGTTTATGAGCCACAGGTCACTGACATTAAACATCCATTAATTTTCATGCATGCTACTCTATGATTTATACAGTGGTGTGAAAAAGTGTTTGCCCCCTTCCTCATTTCCTGTTCCTTTGCATGTTTGTCACACTTAAGTGTTTCGGAACATCAAACCAATTTAAACAATAGTCAAGGACAACACAAGTAAACACAAAATGCAATTTGTAAATGAAGGTGTTTATTATTAAAGGTGAAAAAAATCCAAACCATCATGGCCCTGTGTGAAAAAGTGATTGCCCCCTAAACCTAATAACTGGTTGGGCCACCCTTAGCAGCAACAACTGCAACCAAGCGTTTGCGATAACGTGCAATGAGGCTTTTACAGCGTCCTGGAGGAATTTTGGCCCACTCATCTTTGCAGAATTGTCCTAATTCAGTTACATTAGAAGGTTTTTCGAGCATGAACGGCCCTTTTTTAAGGTCATACCACAACATCTCAATAGGATTCAGGTCAGGACTTTGGCTAGGCCACTCCAAAGTCTTCATTTTGTTTTTCTTCAAGCCTTCGGTGGTGGACTTGCTGGTGTGTTTAGGATCATTGTCCTGCTGCAGAACCCAAGTTCGTTTCAGCTTGAGTACACGAACAGATGGTCAGACATTCTCCTTCAGGATCTCTTGGTAGACAGCAGAATTCATAGTTCCTTTTATCCGGCGCAAGTCTTCCAGGTCCTGAAGCAGCAAAACAGCCCCAGACCATCACACTACCACCACCATATTTTACTGTTGGTATAATGTTCTTTTTATGAAATGCAGTGTTCCTTCACGCCAGATATACTTGGACACACACCTTCCAAAGAGTTCCACTTTTGTCTCATCGGTCCACAGAATGTTGTCCCAAAAGTCTTGGGGATCATCAAGATGTGTTGTGGAGAAATTGAGACGAGCTTTGATGTTCTTTTTGCTCAGCAGTGGTTTTCTCCTTGGAACTCTGCCATGCAGGCCATTTTTGCCCAGTCTTTTCCTGATGGTGGAGGCATGAACGCTGACCTTAACTGAGGCAAGTGAGGCCTGCAGTTCTTTGGACGTTGTTGTGGGGTCTTTTGTGACCTCTTGGATGAGTCGTCGGCGCGCTCTTGGGGTAATTTTGGGCGGCGCCCCACTCCTGGGAAGGTTCACCACTGTTCCATGTCTTCGCCATTTGTGGATAATGGCTCTCACTGTGGTTCGCTGGATTCCCAAAGCTTTGGAAATGGCTTTATAACCCTTTCCAGACTGATAGATCTCAATTACTTTCTTTCTCAATTGTTCCTGAATTTCTTTGGGTCTCGGCATGATGTGTAGCTTTTAAGGATCTTCTGGTGGACCTTACTGTGTCAAGCAGCTCCTATTTAAGTGATGCCTTGATTGTGAACAGGTGTGGCAATAATCAGGCCTGGGTGTGGCTAGAGAAATTGAACTCAGGTGTGGACAACCACAGTTATAGTATGTTTTATCAAGGGGGCAATCACTTTTTACACAGGGGCCATGATGGTTTGGTTTTTTTTCACCTTTAATAATAAACACCTTCATTTACAAATTGCATTTTGTGTTTACTTGTGTTGTCCTTGACTATTGTTTAAATTGGTTTGATGTTCCGAAACACTTAAGTGTGACAAACATGCAAAGGAACAGGAAATGAGGAAGGGGGCAAACACTTTTTCACACCACTGTATGTATTAACCTATCATTTGGATTTGTTGTTTCACCACATCCTACCTGATTTGCATAAGATTGAGAGTCTATTCACTAGTCATTTGTTGCTAGAATCACAGCAATGTCACAAAGCTTGTTGCTTGCTACTGTGAATGCTGGGTCAGATTACAGGTTTAATATACTCACAAAAAATCACTTTCTTGATTAAAAACAAGGAATAGTTATAAATAATTTGTTTCTGGTTTATATACTATAAACCACAAATATATTAAAGCAACTCTTCATCTTGGTCTTTTGTGCTTCTTCTCATCTCATTTTCCCTTTTCACTCGTCTCTCTTTCTCCCACTATCGGTCTTAACTTCCCTTTCTTCTCTGTCTTTAGCTTATGTTAGGTTTGCCCTTCCTCTTGGTGAATCCTGTAGGCTACATGAGCCGGGCATTTGATCTGGGTCGTCAGTTTCTTTTTAAGTGGACGGTGAACTGGCGCTTCTTGCCGGAGGACATTTTCCTCAGCAGGTATTCTCTTCACCCCACAGCACTGAGTTGGAATTTATTACTGTAGACTGTGTATGAAGATGAATGTGGCTCTGTATGAATTGCAAACCTCCTTTTTATTACATTATTGCTAATAATGACACATAATGGAGAGAGCAACTACAATAGAATAGAACATGTTCAACATCATCATTATGTTATTAAACATGTGCAGTTTCCTTCTTTAGGTACTTCCACCTGGCACTGTTATCTGCTCACCTGACCACACTTATCTGTTTTGCATTGAGGAAATGGAAGAGGTAGGAGACTATGTGATGTTCCACAGTGACAGAAATCTCCTGTGATGGGGGTTGCAAGACTATAAATTTTTACTAGTTGATCATTGACTCAAAATACTAGACAACTTGTTGCCTTTTCCGTAGTTAAAGCAGAAACTATTTCAGGACATCACTATTTTTATGCCATTTTATTTATGCAACATAGACCATGCAAAACCATAGTTTGGGTAACAGCTGTATACAGACTACAAATGATGTTTCCAGCTTCAGTGCTTTTGAGCACAGCATAGAAACATTAAATGATAAAATCCTAGCTTAATGATTGATGGAGGACACAAAGTCTACAGCAGCGTCTCTGAGGTTTTAACACCATAAACACCTTAAACTCTGTGTAATGTATGATCAACCTCTTTGAGATGGCATGCACAACTGATTTGACTATAATCTAGCTGGATACACCTCCATGCAAAGTGATATCCAAGTATTAGAGGTCCATTAAAGCAAAAGAAAATGGAAAAAAAATTCCCTGTGCTGTTGATGGTAGAATTGACTTTGTCTCATATTTTCAGACTAACAAAGTACATTTACCTGCTTTATTTACTGTCTGCGTGACTCATCCATGAAGAGAAATGCATGGCTTTTAAATGTTTAAAAAGTGTGTGTGTGTGTTTGTGTTTTACAGGTCAGGGAGCAGTGCTTGGGCTCTTTTGAAGGATCCATCAGAGAGGAAGCCAATAATGCATAAGCTCACTGCTGATCATATCTTTTTATTTTAAAACTGATAAATTCTGATATATAATGATAATGGACTTTTTTGAGTTTTGCGATGTTTTTTTTTTTTCTGTACCTCAGCACATAAAGAGATGTATCTGAAAATAGGAGGTTCAGTTACAGAATGTCAGCTTTAATTTTGGAGGTCTGTGTTTGGCAAAGCATTTGGATCAGACAATTGTATGTCATTTGTTTGTAAGTTGTTTTATTAGCATGCAAAAGAAACCTAACAATCACATTTAAATCTGGAGAGCTCAGCTGTTATCTATTAATATGAGGGCCAAACAAGTGTGTTGTCTTTTGTTCCCTTTTTCCTTTTATTTGCTTTCATTTTTATAGTTATATTTCGTTAATGTGATTACTGATCTATAGTTCAGTGCTCCCTAACCAACTCTCACAGATTGTTCTCATCTTGTACTCTTCCAACTTCATTGGCATGTGCTTTTGTCGCTCTCTGCACTACCAGTTTTATGTTTGGTATTTTCACACTCTGCCCTACTTGCTGTGGTGCGGTGGAGTGAAGAAACTGGCTCAACTGCTCAGGTGAGAACACATGCATATGCACATACACCTGAAGTGATCATGTGTGCTACATTTTCTCTTTACAAAGTTTCACTTGTTTTAATTGTAAAATTTTCTACCTTGAGTCTAGGGCTTTTCACACTTTAAATAGTTAACCCTGGATAATTCTAAACCCTTTATAAATGGAATCCTGGTTTATATTGTTTCACACTTCATACTTTACCCAGGATTAACAATGTTTCACACTGTACATTCCTAAACCACCCTGGGTTAACTTTCTTATTTGCATATTTGCGGTGTCAACAACCATGATTGGTTAAATGACTGTAGTGGGGGGGTGTGGTTGAGCATCAGTTATCGATGGAGTGGAGACGGGTAGAACCGGCAGGGAACATGATGATTCTCAACTGTGTCGTATTAGCCTGAGTTTGCTTGTGTGTTTGTGCCTCATGACAAGCCAAAGAAAAAGAGATATCTGAGCGTGTGTGTGTATATGATAAGGAGTCTTTTATTGTCACCTATACATTACATTACAGTGAAATTCCTTTCTTTGCATACCCCAGCATGCCAGGAAGTTGGGGTCAGAGTGCAGGGTTAGCCATGATACAGCACCCCTGGAGCAGAGAAGGTTGCTCAAGGGCCCTACAGTGGCAGCTTGGCAGCGCAGGGGCTTGAACACCTGAATTTCTGATCAGTAACCCAGAGCCTTAACTGCTAAGCCACCACTGCCCTTTACTAATATTAGAACCCTTAAAAAACAAATTCACAAAAATACTTTGCTCTCATGGATATATAAAACAATTGCAAACACAAGACATGTTTTTCCAAAAAATATATATTTGTTAAATATAGGTGTAGAACAATTATTGGCACCCTTTTAGTCACTACTTTCACCATACGGCTATATTCCTTGGTCTTACCCATTGTTATGAATGACTAAGGGAATTTGGTGTTTGTGTTATATTTATACCCCTGTGAAACAGGAAGACACATTTGAACTATTTCTTTTTCGTAGTCACCCAGGTATGCTAAATTTTTTTAAATATCAGTGGGAATATACTTCAGATATATTTTTCTCATATTAATTCATAAGGGTGCCAATAATTGTCACACACCCTATATTTAAGAAATATATTTAGTTTTTTGGATAAACCTGTCTTTGCAGTTGTTTTGATATCCATGAGAATTTTTTTACCAAAAGTTCAAAAGGTTAAACAATGACAATTTTTCACAGCCTTCTTTGCTCATATTTACCAAGGGTGTTGATATTAGTGGAGGGCACTATACTGTATATATACACAGGAATGAAAGTGGAATGTTGTGGAAAAGTTCATTCTTTTGTATAATTTTATTCAAAAAGTGGAACTTTCATATGTTCTAGATTCATTACACATAAAGTGAAATATTCCAAGCCTTTTTTTTTTTTTTTTTTTTTTTTCCTTGATGATCACACCCTCCAGCTCATGGAAATCAAAAATCCAGTATCTCAAATGATCAGAATAAAGAATTTAATTTATAATACATACACATCAACCTTCTGAGAAGTATGTTAATTTATGCACTTAATACTTGGTCAGGGCTCCTTTTGCACAAAGTATTGCATCACTGCGGCATGGCATGGAGGCAATTAGCTTGTGGCACTGCTGAGGTGTTATGGAAGCCTAGGTTGCTTTGATAGCAGCCTTCAGCTCGTCTGTATTGTTGGTCTGGTGTCTCATAGATTCTCTATGGGGTTCAGGTCAAGCAAGTTGGCTGGCCAATCAAGCACTGTAATATCATGGTCAACAAACCAGTTACTAGTAGGCTGGAAAAGGAAATCAGTATCTCCATAAAGTTTGTCAGCAGATGGATACATGAAGTGCTCTAAAATCTCCTGGTAGATGCTGCATTGACTCTCGACTTGAGAAAACACAGTGGACTTACACCAGCAGATGACGTGGCACCCCAAATCATCACTGACTGTGGAAACTTCTCACTGGACTTCAAGCAAAAGTGGTTCTGTGGCTGTCCACTCTTCCTCCAGTCTCTGGCACATTGATTTCCAAATGAAATGCAAAATTTACTTTCATCTTCCCCATGATTGTGGTTGTGTGTACTGAACCAGACAGAGATTAAAGGCTTAGGAAATTTTTGCAGGTGTTTTGACTCAATTACCTGATTAGAGTTCTTCTCAGGTTGTCATTCCTCTATTATAAATTCTTTATTCTAAAATTTTGAGATACAGGATTTTTTATTTTTATTTCAATGAGTTGTAATCCATAATCAAGATTAAAACAAAAAATGGCTTGAAATATTTCACTGTGTTTAATGAATGTAGAATATATGAAAGTTCCACTTTTTGAATTAAATAAAAAAAAAAAACTTTTCCACGATATTGAGATTTTTTGAGATGCTCCTGTACAATATAAAATATATGTGTGCAGTAAAATAATATAGTTGAAAATCAAAATCTAAAAATGGTGAAGTAAATAAAGAGTCCATTTTGAGTTATCAAGCCTACCTCTGGTTTCCTTATTTCCCTCTGAACCAAAAAGGGAATTGTTCTAATTACTTTTCTGACCATATCTGTAAAAATTAAACTGTCATGTCTTAATTCCAATTGATGTGATTTCAATCGCCATTTGACATTTTTGTTGTTGTTCCATCAAACACTGCAACTTCTGTTTTCACAACATCTGGGGTTTCTCTGACCTGTCCAAAGCACCTGATATGAGGCATGCGCTGTTCAGTTTGTCATTAATGTAACTCATGTTTCCTAACATTCCAACACTGCATTTTCACACTATACACGTTTGGCACCGCAATGCGTGGTTGCACCACAAAAGCAGTGCTAACGCTGCTTCGGAGCAGGGTTTCTTAACTCTGGGTAAAAAGTAGTGCTAACCCTGCCTCTAAATTACAGGTGTGAAATGTTCCTCTACTATGGGTTAAAATGGGATTTAGAACGGCAATAACCCAGGGTAAAGCACAGTGTGAAAAGCCTTTCTGTCTTCTCATCTGTTCTTGCTCTCTTCTTGTTTGTCTCTACTTGTTGTCCCGTTTTTCTTTCTGGTTTTCTCTCATTTGCTTTCTACATCTTATACTTTTGTTTTATTCATTAAATTTCTCACGATGTCATCCTGTCACTGCGTCAATTTGCTTTTTTTTTTTTTGCTGATGTATATCTCCTCTCCTTCTCTCTGTGTCTCAGGGTGTTGATACTAGGTCTGATAGAGCTGGCGTGGAACACATATCCTTCCACCATCTACAGCTCCTTGTCCCTGCACGTCTGTCATCTCATCATCTTGCTATGTCTGTGGTTCAACCCGACCCCTTCTCCTCCAGATATGGGCTCAGAGTCCCATAAGGTCAAACGCCAATGAGTGGTGATTCACCCGCAACTGTGTTCTTGCTCCATAGACATACTTCTCTTCTGGATAAAGGAGGGACAATGTTAGTACTGTTGTTAAATCAGCCTGTGATCTCTAAGGGATGACATTGGTTCAGATGTTAGGGTGCAGGAAAAAGCAGGAGGAAATAGCTCTGATTTTCAGGCTGATTAAAGAATTTTTTTGAGATGGACAATGTGAAAGTCACATGGATCAGCATGTAATGTGACTTTTTACATGTAGACCATTACATGCGACTTGAATTCACACATGGTGTTGCTTATTAATATTGGGACTTTGAAATGTTGGAGTGAAGGTCTAATCTATAGCAGTGGTCTAGAGATCCTGAAAAGTTTGATTTTCAGCCAAATTGATGGCACCTGATTTAAACTAATTAGTAGTTGAGATTTCATCTGGCTATTGTCTGGCGTACCATTTTGACATATTGTTTAATACAGTGGTTTTCAACCGGGGGTGTGCCAGGAGAGATAGGAAGGAGGGCACAAACTGTTTTCAATAAAAGAAAAACAGACAGGACATCATTTAGGTGTATTTTATTGCGTTTCAAATAGAATGTGCATAAATTAAAAACCCCAGGTTCCCTCTCCTTCTGCATTTTCTTTTTTTCTGCGGAGAGGCGGAGCTTAGCCTGCCTTTAATCTAATGGTCATTGCAGATCAGTGTTGCCAACATAGCAACTTTTTTGAGGGACAAAAAAAAAAAGCATCTAACGACAAATCTAGTGACTTTTTGGACAAAATTTTGCAACTTTCCAAATGTCTCCAGTACTGTCCTGCAAGCACGAGATCTTGCTTTCCCGCTGCAATCTTACCTCTCTCCGCGTCTGCTCTGTTCAGTGAGTGGCTGAGAGCCAGAGCAGCACATTCCGTTGATCGCACGGCAGCTGACGCAGGTGTCCCACTGATTGATTTAGCAATGTCATGGCTAATGAGACGCACGCTTTATCCCAATTTACATAATGCATATGCGAATGTTTTTGGAATGCAACATGTAGTTATAGTATTGAGAAACATTTTTGATAATTCATGTTCCATACCTGTCTGTTATGTAGTTTTATAAAAGTTATTTTTAAAAATCATAAAAGTAATTTAAAAAAGTACAAAAAAATTTATCTATCTTATCTATAGGGGAGGCTTGGGGGATGGGGTTGCTTTAGTTACAAAAGGTTGAGAAACTCTTGTTAAGTACAATGTTTTTTGGACACTGTAATCTTTGCACTCCCTTATGTTAACATATAGTTTTACACCAAATGTGACAATTATTAATGCGACAAAACAATAATTAATTGAAATTAACTTTCTACTCACTCCAAATATTTGTAAACTTTTGTATGAAACATGCAGACTATCTTCAGAAGACATTAGTTAGCTGAATCAGGTTTGTTTGATTTGCATCAGAGCTGTTGAACTATATAGGAAGGTAATCTCTGAGTTTGATGGGTTTGATTCATAACCTGTTTAACTATATTTTGTATTTCTTCTTGATAAGTTGGAGAGTTTAGTGGGCTTGGAAAAATGTTTAATGGAATGTCTAATGAATAGGAATGAATAGAAGTGGAGAAGACCTTTAGGAGCTTTTTGTGCTAACTCCTCCATAGATCAGCATGTAGTTTATAATTGAAATATAATCACAAAACAACAAAATGGGAACTTTGACATTAACTTTTTCTTAAAAACAGAATCAGAGGGCCATGTTCCAGACTGAAAAGAAATGGGCTGACATTTTGCAACACCAATGTAAATTTCTGTTTATGTTGTGGAATAGTAAATCTTTTGACTTTTTGACTTAGGGTTAGGGAGTGGCAGTATATTGCTACTTCATAGTTGGCGAATTTAAAAAAAAATTTCATTTCAATATTTAAGCTGACACACTGAGTTTCCAGTTTATTCAGGGATGTACACAGGGGGAGTGGCTATGTGGCCTGAGCCACTGCCCATTTGCCCTCATAGGCTAAGGTGCTCCTCTGGTAGGCAGAACAGTCCTGTAGGCTGTATGTGTAGTGGAGAGTATTTACCGACACCACTAAAAGCATTCTGTAATTACTCCGCTAATGTTCTGCTCCATGGTTTCCATTTCCCGCTCACTCTCTGTATTCGCTCAATGGAGACAACAGAAGTTGATCTGCAGAAGTAATAATTTGGTAGTTTGTTTTTGTTTTGCTGGTGATGTTTTACTTTTGCTCCTGGTTTTCTCATAATGCTGAATAGTTGTATGAAATATCAGCATTCCTGGAAGAGAGGGAAGCAAACATATTCTCTATTTTACTTGAGATTACTGATGTATCACATACACTGGTTCTTGAAAGTTTGTGTAGAATTTTCTAGATATCTACAAAAATATG